CCTCCCTCCCTCCCCCCCTCCTCTCTCCCTCCTTTCTTCCTTCCTTCCTCCCTCCCTCCTTCCCTCCCTTCCTCCCTCCCTCCTCCCTCCCTCCCTCCTTTCTTCCTTCATTCCTCCCTCCCTCCCTCCCTCAGAACTCCCTCCCTCCCTCCCTCCTTCCTTCCTTCCTCCCTCCCTCCCCCCTCTCTCCCTCCCCCCTCCTCCCTCCCTCCTTTCTTCCTTCCTTCCCCCCTCCTCCTTCCCTCCTTTCTTCCTCCCTCCCTCCCTCCCCCCTCCTCCCTCCCTCCTTTCTTCCTTCTTCCCTCCCTCCTTCCCTCCCTCCCTCCCTCCTTCTCTCCCTCTCTCCTTTCCTCCCTCCCTTCCTCTTTCTTTCCTTCCTTCCTTCCTTCCTTCCTTCCCTCCCTCCTTCCTTCCCTCCCTCCCTCCCTCCCTCCTTCCTTCCTTCTTTCCCTCCCTCCCTCCCTCCTTCCTTCCCTCCCTCCCTCTCTCCCTCCTTCCTTCCTTCCCTCCTTTTTCTTTGACAGAGTCTCACTCTGTCGCCCAGGCTGGAGTGCAGTGACACAGTCTTGGCTCACTGTTACCTCCACCTCCTAGGTTCAAGTGATTCTCATGCCACAGCCTTCTGAGTAGCTGGGAGTACAGGTGTGTACCACAGTGACTGGCTAACTTTTGTATTTTTAGTAGAGACAGGGTTTGCAACGTTGGCCAGGCTGGTCTTGAACTCCTGACCTTGTGATCCACCTGCCTCGGCCTCTCAAAGTGTTGGGATTACAGGCGTGAGCCATTGCATCTGGCCTCCTTTACTGTCTTGATAAACTTGCTTTCACTTTACTCTGTGGACTCATCCGAAATTCTTTCTTGCTCAAGATCCAAGAACCCTCTCTTGGGGTCTGGTTCGGGACCCTTTCTAGTAACAGCTCCATAGACATCATGAGATGTTTTAATTTTGCCAGTCTGATGGTAATAAGCGTGTGCTCATTGCCTGATTACAGCGAGCTTGTACATCTTTTCTTATACGTTTTGGCCATTTACATTTCTTCTTCTGTGGATGCCCCAACATCTCCGTGTGTTTTCAGGAATTGATCCATCCCTTCCCCATGGATATGTGTCCAATGCCAGTTTCGTCATAGATCTTTTCATACACACGTGGGTCATTTGTTGGGAGGGGCTTTCTATTACATCGTACTAAGATACTTGATCACATCTGTTCAATACCAGTATCTTCAGTATTATGTCTTCATAATACGCCTTCCTAGGGCGTAGGACAAGTCCCCTCCTACCCTACCCACCTTCAGCCTTGTCTGATTTTGAGTGGAATTGCTTTGAATCTATAGCTTCATTGGGCGAGAACTGAGATTTTGTAATAATATTGGGTCTTCTATCTAAGACCACGTTTTGCTTTTCCATTTATTTGGATTTTCTTTCATGCTTTTCAGTAAGGGCTTGTAGTTTTTTACTTAACAATATAGGCCGGGCGCGGTGGCTCACGCCTATAATCCCAGCACTTTGGGAGGCCGAGGCGAGTGGATCACGAGGTCAGGAGATTGAGACCATCCTGGTCAACATGGTGAAACCCCGTCTCTGGTAAAAATACAAAAAAAATTAGCTGGGCATGGTGACACATGCCTGTAGTCCCAGCTACTCGGGAGGCTGAGGCAGGAGAATTGCTTGAACCCAGGAGGCGGAGGTTGTGGTGAGCTGAGATCACGCCATTGCACTCCAGCCTGGGTGACAAGAGCGAAACTCTCAAAACAAAACAAAACAATATAGCTTGGAGATTGTTCCATATCACATATAGAGAGCTGCTTATTCTCTGAAGAGCTACACGGTATTCCGCTGTGCGGAATTTATTTTACTAGGCCCCTAATGATGCCCTTGGAGGATATCTATGATCTTTTTTTTACTACAGCAATGCTTCAGAGGATATCCTTGAACTTACCTATTTGAGCACCACTCTAAGTTTATCTGTAGGATAAACTCCTAGCAGAAAGGCCACTGGGTCAAAGGATATTGACATACTGTGAGCAAACACACCGTACCTTCCAGAGAGGCTGTGCCATAGAATCACTCTCCTTAAGGTCAACCGATACCATCGGGCTTTCATTGGATTTTCATTCTCCTTGTCTTCTTTGCATCATCAGAGACTTCACCATAGCCTCCTGCTGGAAATTCCCTTTAGTTTCTGTGGCTCTGCGGAAAAGGCAAGACATTCTTCGCTGAATCATTCCTTCATGTGTTCGCTGAATCATTCCTTCATGTGTTCGCTTACGCGTTCTCTTGCTCGTTTCGCAGTTCAGTGCTTGGAACTGGGGAGTCCACCAGGGGGCCCTCCCATCTTATTTATCGGGTAAAATGTTGCCTAATTGTCCGTTACGCCCATCTCCGTATAACTGAAGGCATTCATTGCCAAAACAGGAGAGTAAATGTTTAGAGATGGGGAAACTGAGGTGTAGGGAAATTAAATGGCTTGATAGAGCTGCGAGGCGTGTACATGGCCTCAGGGGAGAACTTCTGCGGAAAGGCGGGTTCCTCGGAGAGGGCACGTTCTTGCCCTCCTGGTTTTCTGCAGGTGTGAGGACCATAAAGAAGCCTATTCACCTGATCTCCCTGGCAGCTGCCAGTCCTGATCTCCACCTGTCCTGAGCTGCCCAGAACACGGGCAGCGCCATCCGGGAGCCACGAGCATGGGCCAGCGGCCAGGGAAGCTGGGTCTGCCCGCCAAGTTTCCACGTTTCCATCTCAGCAGCTTCTTCCAAGCTCTGTGGAGACTCTCCCCACCCCCACCCCTTGGCCGTGGGACATCACCATCGGAGCCGGCCGGTCGCTACCCTTGGGAACAGAAATCAAAGTTTGCAATACCAGCCTCTGCCCTTGTGGGATGACTGGGCAGCCCAACCCAAAATAGTTGGGCAAGGCGGAATGTGAGGGCTGCGGTTGGAAAAATCACAGTGCTGCTAACGACAGGCTGATCTGGAACCGAGAGCCTTGCAGACGTGAACCGAAGTCAAGTCTTTCTCCTACAATAAGCAAACAGACCCAGCGAGCGGTGGTGACAGGCCCAGGAAGAGAGAAAGAATTGCCAAATCGGGGAGGACGCGGAACGTGCTGCCTCCCTTGCCGGGGGTGCCAGGAAGTATTTCTTCCCCGTGAGTCTTGGGGCTTCACATTTTATGACCTATCCTTGACTGAGACTATGGGATGATTTGGGAATATTCAGGAAACCGTTAGGGGTTTTCACCCAGACACCCTTGTGCAGATGTGAGCTCCTAGGGAGCTTTAGGATGTGTCTGGGGGCTAAGAGAGACCTTGGCGAGGGGACTCGGTCTTTCTGGAAGTTGGCTTCGACTTCTGACTCATAATTCCAGGGCTGCTGAGATCCCCCAGGCACTGGGGCTGGTCTGGTTTTTGATTTCTGCTGTTGTTTTTTGTCCTGACTCTGGTCCTAGCACTCTCAGGATCTCTGCCCAACAGGAAAGGATTTTGCCAAAGGGAAGACCCCCTGCATCTTGTTGCTTGCGGGGCGTAAGGCAGGGATGGAAGATCAGCCGCTCTGCAAGGACAGCCCTTGCTTGCCAAAGTTTCCATCTTCCTACTTACAAGGATAAAGCAGGGGTGCAGTTGATGGCAGAGCATTAGGAGCCCGGCCTGCTCTCCATTTTGGACTTTTTATTGAGGACTGGCTTGTGTTCTCTGGGAGGCTGGCCTTGTGAGTCTTTGCCCGACACCTGCTGCCTTGAGTTGTGAGCCAAGATGGCAGCACCTAAGATGTGCCCAGACCTCAACTCCTCTTCTTCGGAACTTCCCATGCCCCTGAGCTGTGGGTCTTACATAAGATCTCGGGAGGCTCTCTGTGTTACGTTTGATACCACTGCTCCCCATCCCCAGTTTCTGCCTCAAGGAAAATGAGTAGTCTCTTTTCTGATCTCTTCCTTCCCTCCTCTTCCCAAGAGCAGGCAGATCCAGCGTCCCGGGCCGCTGGCCCAGGCTCGTGGCTCCTGGATGGCGTTGCCCATGTTCTGGGCAGATCGGGACAGGTGGCGAAGTCAAAGAGGAGGGAAGGAAGATTATACCTGTCATGTTGAGAGCTGCAGTGAACACTATGCTCCATCAACCTTTTTATTAATCGTGTGTGAAACTACAGGTTCACAATCCCTTCTCCCAAATCCTGGAAATGCAAAAACTTTGAAAACTTAGTTTTCCTCTAAATTTGGCAGAACAATGTGGCCTGAACTGTCCTGAGGCTAGGGATGGCTTGCCTTTGTCCCACCGTAGCACATTCAAGTGTTTGATGAAGGGGCGCCGCCCACAGCCCAGGGTAAGATGCTCTGTGGGATATTTGCCTCTGACTCTGGACACAGCTGGCCTCCCTTGTTCCGGATAAGAGACCCTGGACCTATCCCTGCCTTATTGATAAGGAAGCTAAGGCCCACTGAAGTTCAGTAGCATCCCCAGGCTGCCTCAAGGTAGGACAGAGCCAGGACAAAGGCTCCCAGTAGGATGAGCCAGGTGCAGCTGGAAGAGATGGCCAGCCTTCAGCTGTCTTTCTAGAATTTCGTACTACCTTGGGCCTCTGAGTTTCTGTCTCGGAATTATGTTAAAGATAACTGTTTCTCAGTTCGTCAACACCAAAGCCATCTTGGATGGGGTAAAGAGGAAGAATAACTCTTCCATTATCCGCAATTTTTTTTTTTGAGATGGAGTCTCGTTCTGTTGCCCAGGCTGCAATGCCACGATCAGGGCTCACTGCAGCCTTGACCTCCTAGGCTCAAGGGATCCTCTCACCTCAGCCTCCCGAGTAGCTGGGACTACAGGTGTGTGCCGCCAAGCCCAGCTAACTGTTTTATATTTTGTAGAGACAGGGTCTCACTATGTTGCCCAGGTGGGTTTCAAACTCCTGGGCTGAAATAGTCCTCCTGCCTCAGCCTCCCCGAGTGCTGGGATGACAGGTGTGGCCACCACATCATCCTCATCCCTTTCTCTCTCAAGTCGTGTGTCCAGCTCTGTGAATTCTGATATCTGCCCAGGACTTCTCTGAGTCCGAAGCTCCCGGGCAGCACAACGAGGAGCCTTCCCATTGCATTGAGGGAGTTTCCCAGCCCATAAGAGTTCTAGAAAGGCCCAGATTCCCTGAAGTATGGACGAAGGTCTCATAAGGGCTGCGAAAAATGCTGTTGCTTTCTCCGGTATCCCTGCGGCAAGGGCTACTTGAGGACAGAGTAACGAAGGAAAGGTCAATCTGTGTGCTAGGCCTTGCTCCGGGTGACTGGGAAACGTCCTCACGTCACTTACGGGAATGGAGACAAGCTTATCTGTGGCTTTTCCTGTATCAATAAGCAACCAGGGATGTAGGTTTTGCCAAGCCTCAGACATGTATGCCAAGAACACAGGCAGGCCCTGATCTTCTAAGCCTAGCGGTGGCCGCATCTCTAGTTGGTGAAGTAGTGTTGACTTCATGTTGCCATCGTGTCCTCTGAGTTCCCCCTGGGTGCTGGAGGCCTGGCAGCCCTTCTCCCTATACTCACAGGAAGGGCTGGCACACGCAGCCAGGGCCGCTGTGGAGTGGCTGTTGGGCAGCTCACCTGCCCCAGGCCTCCCCTTCTGTTCTCATCTCCATTCACCCTCACGTTGACCCGAGTGCTGGCCTCACCCCGCCTTGGGCAAGGCGGCCGGCATCAAGCTTGCACCCTCTTCTTCCTTTCCTCTTTGATTCTTTTCACCTGTCCAGTTGTTGGTGCGGCGGATGGGAGGACATTCCAGGCAGGGAAAGGTAAAGCCTATAGTGCTCTGAACGTCCCAACCAGCATCCCTGTTTTCACATTTCCTGTTTAGATGTAGCCAGAGACAGGCCCTCACAGGAGTGATGACAAAACCAAAACACCCAGGTACAGCATGGAGGCGAGGGGCAGATCAGAGAGAACTGGGCAGCAGGGCTGAAAAGAAGCAACAAGAAAGTGGGGAACGCTGTTACCATCAGAGCAGACTTGGCTTCTCTGGCCAAATCCTCCCCTGCTAGTGATATGGTAATTTTCCAGAGAGAGCTGGGCTGACAGAGAGTCCAGGGAGGGAGACTGGGCCCCAACCAGGGCCGGCTCTGGAGAAGCCCGGATTAGGGATCCGGACTGGAGGGCAGCCTACGGGGCTGGTTCAGAAGAAATGTTTGTGTATGATTGAGAAAATGTCAGGTTTTCACATCAAGGAATGAGAGGCCTGATAGAGATGGAGGAATGCTTCCAGCCACCGTGGGTCCACCACTCTTCGCATGCTTTCCTCTGGAAATGTAAACCTTCCAGAGAAGGGGTGCCCTCCTAACCATTAGATCACAGAGCTCTCAAGACCCTGAACAAAACAACACAGTGGACCATCGTCTTCCAAAGATGTGTGTGCGTGTACACACATGTGCGCGCGCACACACACGCACACACATACACTTTGGCATTTTTTGTAGGGTGCTCACAGATTCCCCCACATCTCTGAATCCCCGATGACGTGTGGGGTGCCTCAGGTCTGACACGGTTTGGAGACCTGTCCCCTCGGGGTTGGCTGCAGGGGATCCCCAGGCCTTGGAGTCCACCCCCCGCTACCAAGTGACTGGGAGTGTTCGGGCCTGCTGGGCACCCCCGTCCTGCGCGGGGCATCCTCACCCCGGGATCGCAGCCCCTCCACCTCTGGACGGCCCTCCGGACGCAGGGAAGCGGCCCTCCCCACTGCCAGCCTGGCGCGCTCCCCAGGGGCGGGAGGCGGCGGCCGGAGTTCCGCGGGGCGGCGGGGCACACACAGTTAATCCTCCGCGGCTGCTGTTTGGACGAAAGCGCCGGGAGTGCTGGCGGCTCCTCGCGGCTCACATCTGGCTGGGCTTCGCTCCGTGCGCGTCTGTCCCACTTTCTGCGTCTCTTCCTTTACTTTCGAGAAACCGCGCTTCCGCTTCTGGTCACAGGGACCTCGGAGCCTGGGTGGCGGACCAGAGGTGCTGGGGGCACCCGCGGCTGCTCGCACCGCCCCCACCCTCCTGCTCTGCACCGTCGGCGCCGAGGACTCGTCTCCCCGCTCTGTCTCCTCCGGCGGGTCTGCGCGTCTCCCCGGACCTGGCGGGGAGGAGGCTCGGCCGCCGGGAGATGCTCTGAGGGCGGCGCGGGAGGAACGGCCGGCGGGACGGAGGTAGGTGGCCGAGCCGCAGGGACCCGGCGCCGCCCCGTCCCTGTCCTCGTGGCTTCAGCCCGGTGGCCAGGGCGGGGCGGGCAGACACCTGGGCCGGGAGGGCCGAGGAGCGCGGTGGAGGCGCAGGGGCAGAGGGAGCCCAGGTTTGGGGGAAGCCCTGGCGCCCGCCCTGGCGCAGACCCCCGCATAGGCGCCTCTGCGCGGGGTCGCGGTCCCGGGGCTCCCTGCCTGCTGACGAGCCGGACTCTTCTGCACGTGGATACGGTCGGGAGCCATCGCACCTTCCCCCCAGCTTTTTGTGGGGGGTTTATCTTGCTTCACTCTTCTCTGCTGCGTTTTGAGGGTGTGGAAGGAGGAGGAGTGGTACTAATGCCGGCGGCCGCACCTGGCGGGGATGCCCTCACCCCTCCCCAGTCTCACCAGGACCACCTGACCGCCGGGTCTGCCAGGCCCGTCTGGGGCCAACCAGGATCCTTCATGGAATAGGAAGGCTGACTTTGGTCCCCGCACCTGACAGCCTTGGTGTCCTGGAGAGGCCCAGCTTGGGCAGGATAAAACAATGTTGCTTCCCCGGGGCCCTCCTGGGAAGCGAAGCTCCCTGTGCCCGTGCCGCTGGGAGTGGTCCCTGGCCTGGGGCTGGAGCCTCTGAGCCGCCTGGGTGCTTCTGGACGGCACCTGTTGACCCACCGCCCACCACCCAGCCCTCCAGGCTTCTCCGCCGGCGCAGGTGTGGTCCCCACCGTTAGCCCGGATCACCCACTTCCAGCCCCAGAAAGCCAGATTCTCTTCTGTGGACCCTCCATCTGCTTCAAGCACCTTTGGGCCGACTCATCCCTGCTTGGGAGGGAGGGAGGAAGCCGTCCCCCTGTGAGGTGTTCCTGACTCTGCTGCCCCACCTAGTTTCTAGGAAAGGAGGCAACACGACGTGCTGGGAGCTTTCTCATCCTGAGCTTTGAACATGAGAAATGCCGTGAGAAACTGTTCTCTCCGCTGCTGGCCACTTCACGGCCCCAGGGGAGCGGGTGAGGTCCTCAGGCTGCCCAGCCTCTGCTTTTTATAGTGCAAGAAAGTACCGCTCCCTGGCAGGCGGTGGAGCCGTGAGCAGCCACAGATGGAGGCACTGGCTGTTGTGTGCCATTAGGAGACCTGTCCAGTACCCGCCAACCAGGGAGGAGGGAACCAACACAAGGGAAATGGGAGCCCAGGGCTGAGGACAAGCAGAAGCTTCCCCACCCTCCCTCTTAGACCTGTAGAGCTGGAGAGGCCCTTAGAGACAGCCCAACAACAGTGGCATGTGAGCCACGGATTCGTGTGTCTGCTTCTCACATGGCAGGTGCTGAACGTTATATTAATAATTATTATAATTGTTAATTCTCAACAGTTCTATCAAGGGAACTCTCACTTGTGGAAAGAACAGAGCTGTGAAGCTCAAGAGGCTCACGGCTTGCCTGAGGTCCCAGAGACAGGGATGGAGGACTCAAGGTCCTGATCTGTGTCTTTAGCCCAAGGGTGTATGCTTTTTTTTTTTTTTTTTTTGAGATGGAGTTTCACTCTTGTTTCCCAGGCTGGAGTGCAATGGCAAGATCTCAGCTCACTGCAACCTCTGCCTCCAGGTTCAAGCGATTCTCCTGCCTCAGTCTCCCAAGTAGCTGGGATTACAGGCGTGCGCCCCATGCCTGGCTAATTTTGTATTTTTAGTAGAAACTGGGTTTCACCATGTTGGTCAGGCTGGTCTCAAACTCCTGACCTCAAGTGATCCACTCGCTTCAACCTCCCAAAGTGCTGGGATGACAGGTGTGAGCCATCGCGACCAGCCTCCGGGGCCTATGCCTTTAACACTCCTACCTGGTGTTGGGAATTTGGCACTCAGCTCTCCAAGCTGAGGCTGGGAACTTCTCTCCCAGCTGCCGACAGAGAATGCCCAGGAGCAGGAAGGACACAGGTCCGTACCCAGGGACTCTCGACATCTCCGGCCTCTTTCTCCTCCTCTTGTGTTGCCAAGGGAGGTGTCCTGGTGAGCTTGTCAGGGAGGCAGAAAGCAGGGTGCAGGAAGCCTTGGCTGGGCGCTGTGTGGCCACAGGATGCCACAGCCCCTCCCAGGCAGGTGCAGCCAGCTGGCAAGGGATGCCCTCCCAAGTGGGAGCAGAGAAAGCCCAAGCTGTCCCAGGAAGGGCATGGGCTCCCTCCTTGTTCCTGGGAAGTGACCCCCTGTCCAGGGCAGCCAGCACTGCAGAGCTTTTCGGAACATGCTTCTTTCTGTTGTTCTTCCTAGCGCCTCCCCCCAGCTGTAATTAGCATGACTCATAGACCAAATATTCTGGCATTGAACTTTGCTCATCAAAACAAAGATGAAAAGAATTTCGTAGATACAGTGTGCACAGGGGCTGGAGCTTCCCATTTGTGTCTTGTCCTCAGGGGTCCCTGTTCCTGGGGTTGGGGGCTGTGGCTGAGGCTCCAGAGCCTCAGGGAAGGGGTGGGGGTGACAGACAGGAAGGGCAGGAAGGAGCAGGTTACCGTCCCCCGGACAGTCCCGCCTCTGCCTGACTATAGCAGCCTCCGGAGATGTTCAGGTGGGGACACTACCTCTCAGGCCACGGGCTGCCATTTCCCCTGCTAACCTGCTGAAACCAGCCTTCTGCTGGTGTCGAATGGCACACGGCAGCTCTCTGGAAGGACCCTGGCATCTCCCTGACGCCTGCATGCAGGGTGAGAACTCACCTGCCCACTTTAGAGAGCAGCCTGGAAGAAACAGCGATGCCAGCTCAACAACGAGTTTCTTTCAGGCTCTCTTGGGGCATCCCAGCCAGCTGCTCTCACGAGCTTGGGATCCTTGGGGCCCTGCCCTGGGGTCTGTGCTGGGGTCCTTGGCCTGGAAGGGCCAGTCCTGAGCTTAAGCAGGGACGTGCAGCCCCAGGGCACGTTCACCCCTTTCCTCCTTCCCGAGCTCCCCCGTGAGACTCTCCACCTGCTGCCACCGCTGCTCCAGTTCTCCGGGAGAGGCAAGCAGTGTGAGCAGGAACGGGCTTTGGAGCCATGCGGGAAGGATCTGTATCTCTAGGTCCTTGTTAAGGTCAAAGCTGTGTGACACTTGTGCTGGGGTGATATGAGCAGCTCATGGCACATCAGGACCCCTCCAGCTGCCGGTTCTTGCCCATACTCAATTTCCAGAGCTGGGCTTGGCATCTGAATGTGGTTCAAAGGGGGATGGTTTCCGGCAGGGGCACTGGGACCCCCACAGCACACTGGGCACCCCTGTCTTGCCTCTGAGGCCCCATGGAGCCAACCCCTTTTCCAGCCTCAGATGGGGCTGGCACAGACTACAGGCCCCTCCTCGGGCCCCCGTCCTGTCCAGGACGGCCGTCAGGATGGCTGTGGCCCAGCCCCAGTGTCTGCCCATCTCCCTGGCTCCTGTAGGAATTTTCCTTGACATGAGACAGAGCAGAGCAGGAGACGGCAGGCAGGAAGGCAGGCGTCTAGGGGAGGAGAAGAGGCAGACAGCAGGCGGGCAGGCGGGTATGGGGAAGTCAAGTTCTTGGTGCCCTGTACTGGGTCAAATGTTGCTGTTGGCCATGGCTGAAGCCACACTTGGTGGAATGCCCAAGCCCTGTGTTTTGGGTTGTACCCATCCCCCTCAGCTAGTCATCTGGATGCCAGCCACCCTCTGCCCTGGGACCAGGGAAGAAGAAGGGCCTTGCCTGGGAAAGCTGCCAGTCCTGGGTGGGTTCGAGGCGGACGTAGGCCAGAAGGCGGGCAGTGCCCCCCACCTCTGCCCACAGATTCCTGGGGCCAGTCTTCAGAGCTGGGGACGAGTGTGTTCAGAAACACTTGGCCCCATTCTGCTTGTAAAGAGTCTAAAATGAGAGATGGAGGGACCTGGGTGGGTTTGGGGGTGACCGTGGGGCTCTTGCATCTTCCGTCATTCAGGGGAGCCCCCTCCCCCATGAAAGGGTATCGATGAGGGCAAGACCTGCGGCCCTGTGAGTCTCCCTGCGTGGTGCATGAACTCAGATTCCTTTGCAACCCAGCACTCGGGTCTGCTTCTGCCCATGAGAAGGCACCGGAGGGGAGAGAAAATCATCTGTACCCCT